CCGCCCCGCCACTCCGCGGCGCCTGCCAGCGAGCCAGAGGTGCACGCGAGCACGCCACTGCGCGGCCCCAGGCGCTCGGCCTCCGGCCCCGGGCTCCGGCCTGACCGGGGTTCATGGAGCTGGGGCTGTGGCTCCTCCTCGGGCTCACAGTGACCTCCGCCGCAGGTAAGTGGGCGCGGGCAGCTCCTCTCCCGGCGGCTCCTCTCCAGGCGCGAGCGCACACAAAAGGCTCCGGGTGGGGGTGCGCAGACGTCTGGAGTGCGCGGGGAAGCCCCTGGGACGTGTGCGGGGTGAGGAGCGACCGCTTGCCTGGGCAGGCCACCTCTGAAGGCGTCCGGGGACGGGCTGGGGGCAGAGGCGGAGGGCACAGACGACCTGCGTGCGGGCTCTGGAGGTTGCAGCCCGCGGGCAGGCTGGAGACCCGTGCCAGGGCCGACTTTGGTCAACTTTTCATAAAGTCGGGAACTTCTCAGAAAGTTCACCAAGTTTTCAGAAAGTTTGCAAAGTGCTTACAGAGTTTTCAGAAAGTGTGCGAAATGCTTGCAAAGTTTCCCGGAAGTGTGCAGAAGGTTTGCAGTTTTCCAGAAGTGTGCAGCGGGCTTGCAGTTTTCCAAAAGTGAAAATAGCTTGCAAGCTTCTCACACAGTGCGCATCCTTCGCAAACTTTCCAGGAACTGTGCGCAGTTTGCATGGTTTCTGAATGTACGCCCAGTTCAGAAACTTTCCAGAAAGTGCAACTGGCCAGTAAAGTTCTCAGGAAGTTTGGTTGCTGCCCCTCCCCCCGCTCCAGGTGTTTGGGGATGGCGGCTGTGGAGTGGTCCGTGTTCTCAGGAGCCCCTCCATCTTCTTCCTGCAGGATCTGTGCCTCGCCCCCAGCAGGGGGACGCTGGCAGGAGCGGTGAGGGTGAGCCCGGAGGCCCCCCTGCAGCTGGCTCTGAGGGGCACAGTGAGGACACTGTGGCCACGATGGCACAGGGTCTGAGCCCCGGAAGCCCTGGTCAGGATCCAGGACCAGGCCAGAGTGGGGAGCAGGTGGCTGACAGGGGCCGTGGGCGCCACCGGGCCCGACGCTGCACCTGCTTCACCTACAAGGACAAGGAGTGTGTCTACTATTGCCACCTGGACATCATCTGGATCAACACTCCTGAGTGAGTGAGCCCCGGGGGTGGGGGTGGGGGGCAGGACTCACACTCAGAGGGACTTGGGCTCACTCTGCCCAGCTTGGCACAGAGTCCGCCCTAGAACAGCTTTCGGCTCTTGCTGGGGTCCCTTGCCAGCCCAGGCTTTATTGGCATGTAAAGCGTGTGACCCTTGTCCCCAGCCAGGCCCAGAGGAAACTCAATCCGGGAGTTTCTGATCCAGGGGAAGGGGGAGCCCCCCTGCACATGAAATGAGCCAGCCTGAGGGATTAGACACCTGAGAGCCCCCTGGAGCCTGTTTCCTGAGACAGAGGAAGGCCAAAAGTTAGCTCCTGTCCCCGGTGCTCACTGGGCCTGACCCTCCCCCTGACCTGCAAGGCTGACTCTGAGGAGTTTAAAATTCCTTGAAAGCAGCCTGCTCTACAGAGAGTAGGGCACCTGCGCAGCCAGGGGAAACCCCACCTGGGCCAGCTCCTTCTTTGCCCTGCACCCTCCTGGATGGCCCGCCCACACACCATCCCACAGTGCCATGGCCGAAGAGGGCTCTGCTGTCCCCCCAAGCCGGGAAGGACCTAGACATCACCGTCCTGAGTTAGTCTTGGGTCTGCCATGCTGTGACGCCAGCCCTCCTTCAAGGTCATGGAGGGGTGACAGAGTTGGATGGTGTCCCCATTCCCTTGATCGGCATGTGGGAGCCCCTCTACAAAGTCATCATCTTGCAAACACAGGAGGGTGCAATAAAGAGGATGTGACCTTGCTCGGGCCACCAACCCAATGAGCTTTGCTATCCCATCCCTAAAATCACCACGTCAGACCAGTCCTGGAGGCTGGACGCTCTTGGGACTCTAGCTGGCTCCCTGCTAAAGCAATTCTCCGCTAGGAACCTGGAGCTGGTTGTGAACATGAAGCTTGGCCTGGACAGGCCCCGTGGCCGCTCTTTGGGATGTAAGCAGTGGCGTCCTGCATCCCAAGCCCCATGAGCTCTGAGCGCACTGGGTGCAGCTTGGATGGGCTCGTTGTTTCTTGGGTGCCTTGAAAATGATGCAAAGGGGGGTAAACCTGAGGGGTCGAAGGTCTTTGAGCCAGGTGACAGGCCTCTAGCCACATCTGGAGCGTGCCCAGAAAGCCATCCCATCATGGGGGAACGGTACGCAGGGCCAGCTGCATGGCGTGTGTCCTCTGTGGTCCTCACCCAGGGCCCCGAGCTCAGAAGGACCTGCACTCGGTTTAATGCTTTGTTGGTGCTATCTTGGAGTTCTCAGTCATTTCTGAACAAGGGCTGCATTTTTCCCTGGGCCTCGCAAATTACGTGCTTGATCCCGAGGGCAGAATTTGCTTGCTAGGCTGTGTGAGGTTAGGCTCCTATCCATACAGTCAGTCTTGGTCGGGAGGGTGGCCCCGGGTCTGTCTTCTTTCCCTTCATGGTTCTCCATGTGGGGTCACTGTGGTGGGGGTGGGCGGTCCCGGACAGGGCTGTGGTTGATTGCCTTCTAATCTTGGACAGTTATCAGTCATCTTTTATTATAGTGCCCGTGACCCTGACACCTGTCCTTCCCCTGAGTCTTATCCTGCCGGCTGCATCCTGATGGCAACAGGTTGGCTTCAGAGAGCCAGTGACACTGGGCAGCCACTCCCAGACCCAGCCCTTGCCTTGGCTGCAATTCCAGTCTATGAACCTTGAGGGAGAAAGAAGAAAGGCAGCCGAATTAGGGGCAGGGGACCTGAAACAGAGGAGATGGGGGAGGAGGAGAGGATTTGGAGACCTGTCTTTCTTTGCCGGTCTGCCAAGCCCCTGGGCACTGGCCGGGGAGGAAGCGCTGACCTGAGATGCGTCCGCCGGGCTGAGCAAACACGGCGGTCTGTTTGAAATCCTGCCTCGTAACTTCCAGTTGTCTTGTACGGCCGGGGACGAAGCCAGGGAGCTCTGACTTTTTCCAGGACGGCCGACTTGATAACTTTCCCCCTAAAGTTTGATTTACCTCTTCCCCTCCTCCCTTTCCCCTGATTCATTTTAAACACTGGGAAAGAGTGATTAACTCTGGCGTTTGCGAGTCCCATGAGCTCCTCGGGGAAAAAATAACAAGAGCCAGACGTGGGTGTTCGAAATTAGACAAGCAAAGTAATTTTTGTGTGGATGATTTTTCTAGATGGCCTGGTCTTGCCTTGCCTTGCCTTGTCCCTTCCTGCCTTCCTTCCTCCCTCCCTGTTGATATGTAGATATGTGTGTTTGCTACCCAGGAGATGGGAATTTGAGGCAGCGGGCTCAGGGATAGGCATGCTGTCCCTGGAGAGCAGTGGGGGTGGGCGATCATTTTTTGCTGTGGCTTCCATTTGCTCCCTCATCCTGGAGGATCCTGCTACAGTCCCACCTCTTGAGTTTCTCTGTCTCTCTTAGCTGCCCCCTGCTTCCTTAACAGTCCCTCTTGCTCCCTCTTCTCCACGGTGGGACTGACCCCTTGCCCTTACCACTGTCGAGTCTGAGAATCCAGAGGAGCCTTGATCCTGACGCCTAAACAAGGGTCTTGAACTTTGGGTGCTTGTCAGCTTTTGCTGTCTTTCATCCCACTGACTACTCAGTCACACGGAGATGGAATCAACAATCCTACTTTATCTTTGAAGGACACTGTGGGGTTAAAGGCCTTCTACGAGTATTGTCATCATTTATGCTGTGTTTAAGGACCCTAGAAGCTGCAGGGGTAATATTGGGAGTTACTACCAAGACCAGTTTTGTGTCGCTGTGTGGGACGTTAGCTGTCTAGTTCAGACTCAAGTGACTAGACACTCTCTTACGAATCTTCCAGGTAACAGATCTAAGGTTCTCCAGTTCTCTCACATGGCTAGGCCTCTGGGACTTGAGCGTGGCTGCCCCTTTCTTGATTACCCAGCACCTAGCAGGCATCAGTAAATGCTGGACAAATTGTGGCTTAGACCGGCTGCCTGGTGGTTCTTCCTTTCCGTTGCTGTCAATACAGCTCTCGTCCACAATGCTTTCTCCCAGAAATGAGGGTTCCTCTTCCTGGGTGCCTGGATGTTCTTCTGGGCACCTGCACATCCCTGCACACGTGTGGGAAGGTGTATTCTTCCTGGGGATACTGCCCATAACCTCCTCATCTCCTCCAAGAAGCCCACATCCCAAAGAGGAACCCAATTTGTCCTTTCGCAACTGTACTTCTTGTCCCTATAGAGGCTACCGAGATCCCCATCGATGGACGGCACCGTGGGATTTTCCTAAAACCTTCCTTGTCCACGTGGGGCTGCACCAGCCTCCTCCACCCCCCAAAACCCCACCACTGCCCACAAAAACAAAAACACCAAAAGTCCCAAATCAGAGAAAAATACATTTTGCCTTATGGCCGCGCAGTTTGTCAGGAAGAAGTCAGCAAGGGTAGAGGTAGTTGAACAAGCAGATGGAGTTTCTCCGTTCTTGTGCACTTTGGGACTGCTCTCCACTGTTGTCGTCATTGTTCTCAGCTGCCATGGAGTCGGACCCCGACTCATGGTGACCCCCATGCACAATGGAACCAAAGCTGTCCAGTCCTGCACCATCTCCACGATCAGTTGCAGATTGGACCGTGGTGATCCATAGGGTTTTCACTGGGTGATTTTTGGAAGTAGATTGACAGGCTTTTCTTCCTAGTCTGTCTTAGTCTAAAGGCTCAGCTGAAACCTGTTCAGCATCCTAGCAACATGTAAGCCTCCACTGACAGATGGGTGGTGGCTTCACATGAGGTACATTGGCCAGGAATCGAACCCAGGTCTCCCACACAGAAGGTGAGAATTCTACCACTCCATGAGTCTACTTCAAAAGCAGAAGTGTCCGACGAGGTAGTTGGGGACAGGGGTTCTAACTGTCCGCTGCTGTCCCTGTGAGGCTGAAGAGTGAAGATGCATCCAGTGATTGATTGGGTTGCGGGGTGCCCAGCCTCTGAGTGGAGGGGGCCTGCCCTCTGTTACTCTCTCTGAGGACATAAGGAGAAAGGCATCGTGATGTTGTGATGGTGACCGTATCTTCCAAACAAAACCCTGAGACCCACGGGCTGACAAGCAGGAATGTATTTAAGAGGCAGCAGGCGGGGGGTTGAAATCACAATGGTCGTGGAGGATCTGGGATGCACAGTCCCCACTGAGAGCCGAGGAGCTCAGCTCTGTGTCCTGGTCCTGCTTCGCCGTGTGACCCGGAGGGGTGACCTCTGCACCACCTTTGTGAAATGAAGATGTTAGCGTGACTCTGGAATAGTGACCTGTAGGGCTTCTCCTAGCGCAGCGGCTGGCCACGTCCTAATAAGATGACCGACCCGCTGCCGTCTGCTCCAAGGCATGGCCCACTTACTTAATCCAGCAGGAATGACATTTGTTTTGCATTCTTCTCTCCGCTCAAAGAAGTAAAGAGTAAAAACTAATAATTAACAAAACATTTAAACTTGTACTGTAATGTATTCTGTCACAAAAAGGCAAGATCACAACAGGCTTTGTCGTCTGTGTTGTTCCAGAAAGGCGTTTTAACACGTTTCCAAGAAAAGGAAGGGACATTCTGAATTTCAGAACATCCTGGTGGAATGGGTTGGATCCAGAACCAGCCTTCTGTTTATGGGGTGCTAGTGGCTGAGCAGGTGTCAGCAGAGCTTCCAGACTAAGACAGACTAGGAGGAAAGGCCTGGCGAGCTACTTCCGAAAGTCAGCCAGTGAAAACCCTGTGGATCACAAGGGTCCAATTCCGTTGTGCATGGCGTCGCCATGAGTCAGGGGCCGACTTGATGGCAGCGAACAACAACGATTGTCCTTTCTATTTTAGAGGCGGAAACGGAGCCCAAGGTTGTGTCATTTGTCAAGGTTACTGAACTCGTAAGGAGGTGACTGGGCCCTCTAAGCCCCTTCTTCAGACATTTTCCTGGGGCTGGTCGATGCCAGCTTCGGTGCTGTCTTAATTAGATGACTCCTATGTTTACACAGGCGGCCTATTTTTATTGAGCACCTACTGGGTTAGCACTTGGCTGGGCTCTGGGGACCCA